TCCCCCTACAGTAGATGATAAAAATGATATAGCACCGTTTGGTGGGGGAGAGGAGGCCTTATCCAACTACATTAATGTAAACTCTGCTGGGGAAAGTGAAGGATTTCTTCCTATGATGGTTCCAGATGATGACAAGGAAGAGAGTGGTTCTTGGAGTGTGGATTACCATGGATACCATGATGAACATCATCAGATTAATGTTGAAAAATCTTTTAGTCTTGATTTTCGAGATGATGATTTTGATACAAATGATAGTGCCTCTAAGGCTTTGCCATTTAAAAACTATGTTAAGGAAGAAAGTGACTCTTTCAATGTTATTTTTGAGGATTCGGGCTGTGGCGATAAAATGAGTGAACGAACAAACACTAATTCTGCTCACAGCAGTTCACTTTCCCGGGTTGTCAGTGAAAAACTTGATTTGAATCAAACAACTGCAGAAGAACATGATCAACAGGAAAATGAAGAATCGGCTGACGGCCACAAATTATATTTATACATACAAATGCAACTTTGTCAGAAAGAAAGTTTAAAAGACTGGTTGCAAACTCACAATGGGCCAAGGGACCATCAGCAGGTGTTGTATATATTTGAACAGACTATAAGTGCGGTGCAGTATGTCCATGAATGTGCAATGATTCATAGAGACTTGAAGGTAAAAATCTAATTTTTTTAATCTAGTTTGAACCAGTTTGAACCGGCTTTAATGTGTTAAAATAATGTGGATTCCCTTATCCTTCTTTGATGTCTTGTGCCAAGAACATCAAAGGGTCGACCCCCTACCCTGGGTGAGTGTGCCACAGACTCAATGGGAAGGCCAATTCCTCTGGCCGAGATTCATTCACTAACAAATGCGACTTTGAGGGAACCTTGGTTAAGGTCCGCTGGTGCTTGTGTTCGACCAGGCCCGGTTTACGCCAGGATAGCGCATTACAAATTGCCATTTGACAGAGAGATGGCCGCACAGCCCTGTCATGTAGTCCCAAACATGAATATGTGTCGTCAATAGCACTTGCAATTTGCACATACACTGTCAACAGTGACACTCAATGTCAGGAACTGTTGCCTGGCACAAAAAATATTTAAAAAAAAAAAGATCATACAAGATGCACTGCTATTCTCAGCCGATTAACCTATTGAAAGTTATAATGTCTCACACGAAAATTGCAGTAAAGTTTTTTTTTTCACATTTTTATGTATTACAGTATTTTTCTATAATTTCTTCATTAATTTTTGTTAATTTTGGCATTGACATAATTTCTCATTTCTATATAAAGTTTGATCTATTTTTTAATGAATGTTTAGATCACAATGTATAGTTGTTGAAATAGCTACTCTGTATTGCACATGTATGATATGTACAAATAAGCAATACATCCAACATTTGTGAACCGACTAGAACTCAATTATACTTTCCGAAACTATAAAAGCTGTACTGATGATCTTATCACTAATATTTAATATTTTATTCCTAGCCGTCCAATATATTCTTTTCTTTGGATGGATCCATCAAGATTGGCGACTTTGGTTTAGTAACGGCCATGGAAGTACAGCCGGCATCAGGAGAGGAACTACCAGTTGCTCCTGAGAAGAAACACACTGATCAAGTCGGCACCCAACTTTATATGAGTCCTGAGCAAGTAAGATTGTCTACTGAATTTAAAAAATGTGTTCTGTGTTGACTTGGCCAACTAAAATAATTGGCTGCCTTTTTAAAGCATCACTGTGAAATAACTGGCCAGGATTTTGATCCAAACAGTTTAATTGGATATAAAAGTAGTCTGACTATACTTTATGGAAAACAACGATATATTGATGATAACGTTCTGTTCAGATTGCAGGAAAGAGTTATGGACATAAAGTGGATATATTTTCCTTGGGATTAATATTCTTTGAATTGATGCATCCTTTCAGTACTCAGATGGAACGCATACAGGTTAGTAATGCATAGTTCTCCTGCCTCTTGCACCCAGCTGTACATGTAAAGGTTTGTTAGGAAAATGTCATGGTGTATATTATACAGATAGTAAAGATGGTCTATAATATACAGGTTCTGGGCATTGCCATACAAGTCTTTTTCAAGTTTTGGATTTTCAATGTTACTGCTTCAGAATTGGCAGCCAAGTTGGCATCTTGCTAGAACAGAACATTATTTAAATTACATTGAAATAACCTGTACATCTTGTGTTGATGTCTTGATCGAATCACATGAAATTGATCTGTTTGTGAACAGTTAATGTTGATGGATTTATAAAGGAAGCTATTGATTGCCTGCGTTTGTACCATTGTGGGAAATCAGTCAATGTCAGATTTGTTATCCGTAAAATT